GATTCCTGTCTCCATAAAATATCTGATGCTGCTATTTTTTTATTCATTTTTTTCTGGGCCTCAGGGGTAAAGAATTGAGTTAATTATCCTATTTGATTCATAACATCGTCACACTCACTGCATTCCCCTCACTCCAGTAGTTGCTATACTCATGTGTTTCAAGGGATCCCTTGATAAGGACATATTCTTGTGAGATATATGGTATTATTTTGTAGGAGGATTGCTTTTTTAATTCATAAATGGTATGATGCTGTAAATAGCATTTGGTTTTCTGCTTTCTTCCAGTTCTAAGGTATCACCATGTGATAGTATGTGCATGTCATTCCCTGCTTCTAAGAGCCATGGGTATTCCATAGTGTGTGCTCACCAGTTAACCTATCCACACACGTGGTGATGGACAACTCAGCTGCCACAAACAAGGCAGCTGCAAGTGCCCTGGTGGCCGACACAAGAACTGCTCTGAGAAACCCAGAAGGATTTCTGTGCCCCAGCGGATGCATCCTCACTGCACTGAACCCTTTCAGACTGCCCTGTAACCAAGCAGATCTATGTAATAAGGTGCTCGGTGTAGTGCTTTTACCTTATCAGCTATTAACCAAAGAATCCCACACTGGGGCATCAGGGTTTCATCCAGCTCTGCTGCGGGGTGGCTGTGGGATGTTACATAAGTCACATCCCGTGTCTGGGTCTCAGGATCCTCTTCCACCAAGTGAGTATGCCGGACAAAGTCAACTCAAGGCCAACCCTAACCCCACTGGGAGTGCATCTGAGGGGCAGCACAAGATGATGAAGCAGAGACACCTTTGAACCCCAAGTCCTAGCTTTGGCGACCTTTGTGAATTGCAGAAGGAGCTCATTGGGAATACACGTGTTGTAGGAGTCCTTGACAATTAAGTGAAATAATGGACATAAAGTATCTGGCACTTTGAGTAGCTGTTCAAACTGATATCCATTCTTTTTATTACCAACCCATGCCCTTTCCCTGTTTTGTCATTTTCCATTGAAGAATTCTGAAATTTTTCAGAATTCTAAATTCTGACAATTTACTGTTCTGTCTTCTTAATGAAGTGTAAATACATACAGTAAGGTCTAATAATCTTCTTTTAATAACAGCTTTATTGAGTGCACCTGTAGTCCCAGCTACTCGGGAGGCTGAGACAGGAGAATTACTTGAACCTGGGAGGTGGAGGTTGCGGTGAGCTGAGATTACAACACTGCACTCCAGCCTGGGCCATAGAGCGAGACTCCATCTCAAAAAAAAAAAAGAAAAAAACAAAGAAAGAAAGAAAACAGATTCCTGTCTCCATAAAATATCTGATGCTGCTATTTTTTTATTCATTTTTTTCTGGGCCTCAGGGGTAAAGAATTGAGTTAATTATCCTATTTGATTCATAACATCGTCACACTCACTGCATTCCCCTCACTCCAGTAGTTGCTATACTCATGTGTTTCAAGGGATCCCTTGATAAGGACATATTCTTGTGAGATATATGGTATTATTTTGTAGGAGGATTGCTTTTTTAATTCATAAATGGTATGATGCTGTAAATAGCATTTGGTTTTCTGCTTTCTTCCAGTTCTAAGGTATCACCATGTGATAGTATGTGCATGTCATTCCCTGCTTCTAAAGGGATCTTGCTGTGTTTCCCAAGCTGGTCTCAAATTCCTGGCCTCAAGTGATCCTCCTGCCTTGGCCTCCCAAAGTGCTGGAATTACAGGTGTG